CTTTCGCCGCCATCTTGCCTCCTCCTTCCCCCTTCGCGACCTGTTCGCCGCCGATTGGCTGAACGGAGAGAGGCCCACGCGAGGGACGCCGGGACGAAGAAGCGCGGCCCTATGGGAAGGGGAGGCTGGTGCAGGAGCGCCCTGGGAAGTGGAGTTCTTGGCGGCTGGGTTGCCATGGCTACGAGGGGTAGGGAGAGAAAGTGGGGATCGCGGTTCGCTCGTCGGGAGGGACGGAGAAGGCGCGCGAGGCGGGCCGGAGGGGGCTGCAGTCGCCATCCTCCTGCAGGGGACAGCGCAGGTACCTTTCTAGTCGCGGGAGGACTCGACACTCTATGATTTGCTCCCTCGCTCCTCTGCCCCATCTTTATAAGAAGCCTTGATTACGCCCCTTTCCCGTTAATTAATTCTTTAGGCGGCCCTTCCACAAGCTGGTGCCCTCTCCAGTGTTGCACTACAATCCCCATCTCGTCCACCGGCTGGCCTGGCTCACATCTATGGTGGGTGTGGATTATGGTATCTGTAGTCCTCACCTATCTCACACGGTGGGGGGTGAGACCTTGGAGGCCTCCTCAGGCAGGGAGGGCAGTGGCTGCGTCCACAGGACATGCTTAACCAGTCCAGGCCAGCGGAGGGGTTGACCCAGCAGGTGAATGTGGGTTAGTGTTAACTGTGGTTAGCTTTTTCTGGCTCTGTAGGAACCCCATTTTGGAGTTTGCTGTATTGCATAAGCCCAGAAAAGGGATTAGTTCAACAAGCAGGTTATGCATGTTGTGTGAATCCAGCCTGCAAGTTGTGGGTCAGTGTTTATCAGCCAGCCCGGCCTACCTCACACGGTTGCTGGGAGGATTACATAGGAAGAACGGGGGCAGCATCATATGGGCAACTTGGAACTCTTGAAGAGAAGAAAATCAGAAGAAAAAGGTAGTCGTGATAGAATCACCAACCTTTCTTTCCTTCTTATATTTTGCCAGAATCCAAGGACAATCGGAGCACAAACAATACAGATAAAAACAGTATAAACGTTGATCCTTTATAACATTATTGCAATCATCTGACGGTGCAGTCAAGATCAGGGACTCTGGGACCTTTTGGAACAGCTTATGGCTTGTCTCTTTTAAGAAAAGAGGTATGAGTTTACAGAATGAACACAGGACAGCATGTGCCAGGGGTGGTGCCCAGAGCAACAAAGTGCCCATTGCGGCATTCCTTAGTGCCTACCAAGGCAGTAATTGCAAACCTAATTTTATTTTTTAGATCTTTCTATTTGCTTGTTTCTTTATTGGTTAGATGTCTACCTTTTCCTTTGTTCAGGAGCTCAAGGTGGTGTACACTGTGCTCCCTTGTCCCATTTCTTCTCCAACAACCCTGTGAAGTAGGCAGGATTGGATTGAGAGGGAACACAGGGGCCAAAGTCTATCCAGTGAGTTTCCATAGCTACAGGACTTCAGTTGGGTCTCCCTTGTGCCTGTTCAACACATTAATCATGTAACCACACTGACTTTCCACACTGATGGAAAGTTTCTTTTCAGGTATGTAGGAGAAAAGAGAATCCGTTTTTGTTTGCTTGATTGATTTATATCCTGCCTTTCTTTCTGGAGCCCAAGGTGGCATACACAGTATTCTTGTATAGGCCTCCTATTTTTCCACACAACAACTCTGTGAAGTAGGTTGGACTGAGAGAGAATGCCTGGCCCAAGATCCTCAAGCAACTTTTAATCTAACACCTTCATCACACCACCACACCTAAAAATTGAGTGAGAAACTTGCATGATACAAAGCATAGCACCGGCTTCAAATACAATCTGTAATACCTTGGATAGTCAAGAAAACAAACCAATGGATCTTAGAACAAACTGGTGCAGAGGTCTTACTCAAGGCACAAATTATTGTACTTTCGACACGTTATATGAAGACCAGCTCTCTCGAGAAGGCTGTAATGCTGTGGAAGGAAAGAGAAGAAGAGGACGACCAGCAGCAAGCTACATGGACTTGATTACAGTGGCAATGGATGCACTTTCAAAGACTTGAAGGACCAGGTTAAGGACAGATCCTCCTGGAGAAAATCTATCTATGTGGTTGCTAAGAGTTGACACTAATTGATGACACTTAGTCAGTCAGTCAGTCAGTTGGTGCAAAGACCCAGCTGTCTGGATAAGTCTATAATGCTGGGAAAGGTGGAAGGAAAGAGAAGGAGAGGATGATCTCTCCAAGGTGGAGGGACTCAGTGACAGCAGCCATGGGTGCAGTGTTGGAAGACCTGAAGGTCCAAGTTAGGGACAAATCATCCTGGAGAAGGTCTGTCTGCGTAGTTGCTAAGAGTTGTCTTGATGGCACTGACTTGATGGCATGCAATCAATCAATTCCACACAGACACCCAAGGGAGTTGGTAACACACCAGATGAGCCTAGGGGCGCAATCAGGGCTAAGTTTGCCTTCTGGCAGAGAGGTATTTTTTACTGGCTGCAGCCATCAGGACAACAACTTGTGAGAATCTACATAACAGGTTGAATCTCTGATTTGGTGGCCTCCTAAATCTAGTTCAGTGTTTTTCAAACTTGTTGGCTGTGGAATTCTGGGAGTTGGTCCACACATCTTAAAAGATGCCAAGTTTGAAGAACGCTGATCTAGTTGATGAAATCAGGGTGGCTACCTGCAGTATAGCCTGGTGGCAAATTCTCTTGAACTGCAGAGTCTGGATCACAGGAAGTCATTGCCCCCCTTTCCTCTGCCTTGGTCAGACCGCACGTGGAGTCCTTTGTCCAGTTCTGGGCCTCACAGTTCAAAAAGGACAGTGACACATTGGAGGAGTTCAGAGGAGGGCTTCCAGAAAAGGCAAGGGTCTGGAAACCAAGCCCTCTGAGGAACAATGAAAAAATCCGGATGCATTTAATCAAAAGAGGTGACTGAGGGGAGTTATGAAAGCAGCCTTTAAACATCTGAAGGATGGCCACCCAGAAGAGAAAGTGGCCTGAGATCACTACAAGAAGGAGGTTCAGGCTAAGCATCGGGAAGAACTTCCTGACTGTAAGAGGTGACAGCCAGTGGAACAGGCTGCCACATGAATTGGTGACCTTCACTGGAGGTCTTCAACCAGAGAGAGGATGGTCATCTGTCGGAGATGCACTACTGAATCCTGCACTGAAAAGGGGGTTGGACTAGGTGACCTCTAAGGTACCTTCCAACTCTATGATTCTGGTTTTTTCCTTTTCTTTCTTTTTCTTTCCGTTTTTTTTTTTTAACGCCTTCAAGTCATTGTTGACTCCTGGTGACTGCCTGGACTAGTCCCTGCAGTTTTCTTGGCAAGATTTCAGAAGTGGGTTGCCATTGCTTCCTTCCTAGAGCTCAGAGAAAGGGACTGGCCTAAGGTCACCCAGCCAGCTTTGCACTTAAAGCAAGACTAGAGCTCATGGTCTCCCAATTTCTACCCTGGTGCCTTCACCACTACAGGTAGTCCTCACTTAACAATCACAATAGGGACTGGAAAATTCGTTGTTAAGCAGGGCGGTTGTTAAGTGAGTTGTGCCCGATTTTACAACCTTTTTAGCATTAAGTGACTCACAGTGGCTGTTAAGCAAATCATGCAGTTGTTAAGTATATCGTGAGGTTCCCCACTGATTTTGCTTGCTGGAAGCCAGCTGGGAAGGTCTCAAATGGTGATCACATGACCCTGGGACACTGCAACCATGGTAAGTGCGAGCTGGTTGCCAAGCACCCGGATTGTGATCATGTGGCCGCAGGGGTGCTGCGACAGTTGTAAGTACAAGGACTGGTTGTAAGTCCCTTTGTTTAGCACTGTTGTAACTTCAAACAGTCACTAAATGAATGGTCGTTAAGTGAGGACTACCTGTACACCAAATTGGCTCTCTTCTATGATTCTATAACAATTCCAAATTGAGTGGGCAATGCCAAGAGAGGTTTGGCTGGGCATACTGGCACCCAGAAGTACCACATTGGGGACCCAGAACCTGGAAAAACATACAACAGCTGACATTTCATTATGAGCCAGAAGTGTGATGGGGTTGCAAAAAGGGCCAGCGTAATTCTGGGCTGCATTGACAGAAGTAGAATTTCCGAATTACAGCAAATAATACCCAGTTCGGCGCACTGCGTCTTCAGAAGGATTCAGACAATCTGGAAAGATTTCAGAGACGCTGAGAAGGATCAGGGGACTAGAAACTAAATCCTATGAAGAGAAATTTTAAAATTTGGGATTATTTAGGATTGAGGGGGAAAAAAGACTAATAGCCTTTTCTGAATAATCAGAAAGGATGCTACATTGAAGATGCTGAAGACTTGTTCTTAGCAGCCCAGTGGGTGAGACACAGGGTTATGGTAATCTGGGATTACTTTACACTTGGATTCCTGCACTGATCTTGGGGTTGGATTAGATGCTTCAAGGAACCCTGCCAGCTCCTGTTCTGTGGCTCTCTCTCATTCCAGCTTCTTTTGTAGATTTGAAGCAATGAATAATTTACAAAAAGGTTTAAAATCTCGAGATTTCTAAGCCCAGGGTTTGAATTTTTAAAGCCAAGCTGTGGTATGGCAGCACCCCCAGAGATCTTGCTTGGCCCCTCTGCTTACTTTGTGGCTGGCATTTGCTCTGCCCCGTGGGGGGCATGACGAGATCTCTCGTTGCTGGCATCGGCTGGGAATATAGCAGCAGCGGTTCAGGTTGATCTTGACCCTCACGTCCCCATGTGTCACCCGCATTGCTGGTCTGGCCAGGGGGTGGTCTCATCCTGGCAGGGCCTGCTGAGAAGGGTCCCTTTGTGCCATGTCACAGAAGCCTGGCTGCTTTGTTAAGCACAGACACGGGGGGGGGGGGGTCTCCCCCAGAAAGAGCAGGGCTTGCAAAGGACCAGCTCCTTTGCAAAGGGGGAGGGGTCTCCTGCAAGTTTTCCTGGTACCCAAATTCTGTCTTGGAAGTTCCTTGATTGACCTTGGATAAGTTATTGTAATAAAGATATTGGGCTGCCATGGGGGAGACTCAGATTCTTCCACCCCACCTACAGAAGCTCTCTCAGGGCCTCTGGATAGTCGTTCTCTCAACCCAGCCTACCTCACAGGGTGGTTGCGGTAGGGAAAAATTGGAAAATGAGCAATATGTACACCACCTTGAGTTCCAGAACAAAAGTCGAGCTATTAATCAAATCAATATCTAAAGTAAGGCTGTGCAGCACTCTGGAGCACATGGGAGCATAGATAAAACCCCTGTCTTCGTGTTCTAGGCAATTCTTGGAAGTGAAAACTGGGCACAATTTAAAAATGGACCTTTAAATGGGTTAAGGCTGATAATCTCAGGCAGGCATTTTCAAACAGTGTTTTGCAGAACCCCTCAAATGCAGCCAGTTTTCTATTACTAGAGCAGTGTTTCTCAACCTTGGCACTTTTCAGTGCCAGTGTTTCTCAACCTTGGAATTCTGGGAGTTATAATCCACACATCTGAAAGCTGTCAAGGTTGAGAAACACTGTACTAGAGCTTTGCCTCTTGATCAGGAGTTCCAGGAATTTTTTTTTAAATAGCAGGTTATAATTAGCAGATTTGAAAACCCCAAATCTAAGGCACACCACCTCTCCTATTAAGAACCTGTCCAGATGCTAAGATACTCAGGAGAGGCCTTTTTGAAGATGCTTCTCCTGTTGGAGCACCATCTTTCTGGCACACGACAGAGGTGCTTCTCCTAAATTGGTCCCAGGCTATCAAACTCACTCACACCACTCTGTGTTTAAACCAGTGTTTCTCAACCTCAGCAACTTTAAGATGTGTGGACTTCAACTCCCAGGATTCCCAGGCCGGGGAATTTTGGGGGTTGAAGTCCACAAA